CAAAAAAATAAAAAATATATGTATATATATATATATATATATATATATATATATATATATATATATATATATATATATATATATATATTTTTTTTTTTACATTTATTTTTTATTTTTTTGTCATTTATTCACGATTTGAAGACACTAACTAAAAATGTAAATACGTGTATATATTAGATTAAAATAATCATATTTATTACATAATAGTCATTTGAAACATTAAAATAAACACTTGCATTTTTCTCCATGTATGTAAAACCCACTTTGCCAATTTAATTAGATGCAAAAGCCAACATTGGATGTCTCAACTTTGACCCTGTGTTTATTTATTTTCCTAAAAGTCCTATTTATAAAATACTTGATTTTATTATTATTATTTAAGTCTTGAGTGAGAGCCATTGAAAGGTCATATGTTAAACAGAGGAACGGGTGAACAGATGTCTGTTGGCTTTGTTTCAGACTCTCATAAGGAGCTCAAAGGGGTCTCAGACTCGGGCTTAAAAAGACGCAATGAAAAACAGCGATGAGCGCACTTACTGTGCTGCTCTGCTTCACTAACCTGCAAACATTGATATAGCTTTTTTTTAAATTCAGGCTGTAAAAAATGTGTGGAAGAATAGCTAGCGCTGAAGGCCAATATTTAACCAAGTGCTCTGTTAATTGATGAAGAAGTGGACGGGATGCTGACTGGAATGCAGAATTTGCTCTTTCTGGAGTGTCCACTCAAAAGGGCCGTCCTGGCAGCTGACGCAAAGGCCTTTACAGAAAAAATAGGTCTTTGACACTCACGACAGTGTGAGGAGAGAATGTGTCTGGGCCCGAACACTGCCAAAATCCCCCCGGTGCTGTCTGCAGCTACTGAAGCGGAATGAGGGAGAGAAAAATCCAGAGCAGAAGAGAGAAAAGAAAGAGGGATTGAGGGCAAAAAGAGACATCGGAGCTCGGTTTCTGTCCTGGGTTGGTCAGGAGCGAGATGGGTGGTGCTGGCAGAGCTACCATTAAAAACAGGGGGTGCGGAGTACCCAAAGTCACATGATAATAAATAAATTTTGCTTTCCGCTTGAATGGTTTTGCTTCAGCCATAGAGATTTATACGTGTTTTGAAATTTGGACTGTATGTGTGCATCGGTTTAGTGGATTTATAACCAGAGCCAATTTAACTGAAGTTTTTCCTTGGTCTGAAACTATACTTTTATTAAGAGTTTATTGAAATGTGTTAAATTTGTGACTGCTGTGTGCTTTATGAAGCGGATTGTACTTGCATGATGTCTAAAACAAAGATTGGTCACTGCTAGACTTGGGCTGGTATGCGATTCTGACAGTGTATTAACCTCAGATAAAAAATATCATGGTTACACGGTATTGAGATTACTGCTCTAAAATATGTTCTTTTTAAATATCTAGGTAAAAAAAACAACAACTTTTTTCTCCTTTGAACACAATTTATTTTATTTTAAGAAACATTTAAAATATTTTGGAGCAGGAAAATGTCTGGCTAAATAATTCAAATGAATTTTTGACTTTTGTTGTCTTCATTTGCTTTTAAAACACTGAATTTAAAACGTCATCTTTGGATATAATTCATGCTGCAAATACTGTTGTTCGAAACAACAACAACAACAAAATAAACATGAATAAAAAATCTTACACACACCTTAGGAATGGTATAGCAGAAAATTTGGGCGGTTTTGAAACCTTGACTTTTCCAAAACGCGGTATAACTTGAAAACGGTTATAGTCCCGTGCCTAGTCACATAAACTCATTCGTAAACCCATCATAAGAGTCATATTTTGGAAACTGAGAGTTATATATAATCTGAAAGCTGAATAAACAAATTTTCCATTGATGTATGGTTTGTACGCATATACAACACAATCTCACAGTAATTCGTAACTTATTGATGTAGCGACTAATTCGTATGAATTTGTATGATCTCATTCGTAAAATTTTGTGCGATTTTTGCTAATCCGCTAATGCCGATTTAGGGGCATGGTTGGGTGCCATGCCTCCTTTTAA